TATATATATATATAAAATGTTTTAGCATGGTTTATCTTTGTTATTTATAATAATAATTTTAATAGACAATTAATAAAATAAAAAATTGCAACTTTGATTATGTTTATAAGATTTCCTAGAAATAATTATTATATAATAAAAATATGTATCTGAAAAATATTTTGCAAGATTATTGTTAGTAATGATATTAATAGCATGAAAGAAAATATTTTAATGAAAACACTATATTTAATAACAGTAAAAATATCTTTTTTTAGATGGAGTTACAACTTAAACAATTTTATCTCTTTCTATATTTATATAAAGATGGTGATCATTACGATACGAAGTTGTGTCGTCATTTATTTTATTAAACCTACCACATCTTTAAATATATTACTCTTTCCGTACCATATTAATAATCTATATTTTCTTTTTGGTTGTCCCCAAAATAATAGTCTATATTTTAAAAATAAATATCAGTTTTACCAAAATACCCCTCATTATTAATTAAACTACAATGTAATTAAATGCAACAAAATGCTACAATTATCATTTTATTTAATAAAATTAATGGTAATTAATGTTTCCTTAGTTTATGTGTTTTTTGTTGTGGAGAATAATTTTGGGATGGAGGGAATATTAAATATATAATGGTTGATATATTATTGAAGTATCATTAAATTTACATGCTTAAGACCATATCCAACCCTACACTAAAAATTTATTTTACACTATAAATTATAATATAATGCTTCAACTCTACACTATACCTAACACTATATATAATGTTAGATTTTAGTGTAACACTATATATAGTGTTGGATTTTAGTGCAACACTGAATATAATGTTGAATAAAGAACAATATATCTAGAATATATTTTTTAATATTAAATATAGTATAATAGGTTTCAGGACTTTAGTCAGTTTAGTGTAAGGGTTGAAGATGGTCTAATCTTTAATGGTTGATACAACAATATTAATTAGTGAAAATATCATTATATCCACATATTAATGGTTAACCTAAAAGTTATAGAAATTCAATCAAAATTATTCATGTAGCGAAATTAAACATATCAAAATTGAATCAAAATTGTTCATTTGATTGAACACATCTATCCAAGAATGCATGTGTATTGTATTAGAACAATTAATGATGCAAAACAATACGATAATACAAAGCCATCGATTAAAAACACAACGCGGATATGAAAAAGAAATGCAAAACAATACGATAATACAAAACCATCGATTAAAAACACAACACGGATACAAAAAAGAAAGGGCAAAGCGGTGTATAATATATATGAAATATTAGGTTATGATGAGGGTAAATAAGTAATTGGGTTCCTAACATAAATAAGAAGTTTTAAATATATAGAAATAAACCAACTTATTCACTACTTCTTATTTAAGTCAATAAATACTTGTAAATCTTTACCAATCCAAAGACTAAAATCTGTTTATTATTGATATCAAACCGATTTAAACAAATAAATAACTTAAATAAACAATCCCAACAAAGTAAAATTTGCAAGTCATTGCTATGTGATCTTATATGTTAACCAACAAATATATATAAAAAAGTAACATTTTTAGAGTATACAACTTAAGTATAAAGTGCTTGCAATTCTTTTTTGAATAAAAAAAAAGCAATAATACACAATCTTATTTATCCTCAAACATTCGACATAATGATATGTTACATATCAAATCATCTCAACAAATATTGAGTGAATAAAACATACAATAAATTGATAGGTACAAACAAAGACATATAAATAAAATCACAAAGAGTTCACAGTCAACATATGATATTAAGCAGAATAGGGTACCCGATGACCGAATTTTGTCCAGAGCCAAGGCTTGTGGCGGTCCGGATCAATGAAAGTATGACTCAGAAATGGTTCGACTTCACGGTCACTTAGTTGTTTCCCCCACCACACACGTTTATCAGCCCAACTTCCGGGCCCCATACATCTGCAATTTTTTATAAAAAATTTATAATACTAAAAATTAGGATAATGTTTATTATTTTATTTAATAGACTTAACAAGAATAACATGATAGAGAAAGTTTTAGGAACTTTCCTTATTAAGTCATAAGTGCTTACAAGTTTGTAATCATTCATATTTTTTTTTTCTCATTTTCCCATTTGTATCTTTATTTTCAAAAAGAAGTTAGAGTAAATTACATTTATTTGACCCTAAGTATATTTGATCTCAAAAAAAAAAAAAATTCTTGCAATTTTAGCTTTTATACATGTTTCTAGTAAAATGATTATTTTTGGTTCCCGAGTATATCTATTTTTTGGAAATTTTGTTGAAAAAAATAGTCTTTATATTTAAACCATAGACCAAAAACTTTACAAAAACCTAAATATGGACCAAAATTGCAAGAGATGACTTTTTGGGAAAAAATTGAAATAATAGCTATACCTAGGGACCAAAAATGTAATTTACATAAAAAATTATAAGTCAAAAAAAATCTTTATGTATTAAAATACTAACTTTTCACTTATTTGCCTTTCTTTTTTTCCTTAACTTCTCACTGTGTTTAAATTGTTAAGATTGATGAATATCGTTTGTTTTTTAGAAATATAAGTGTAAAATAGTATTTACTTGTATTCATAAAAGCAAGCAGTTTTCTCATTCTCATGGTTGCCCCAATTATGCCAACCCTCATGTTTGATACAAGAATCGATGTATGTGAACGCAAAAAGCACCCTACTAAAAGGTCTCCATGGCCGTCCAAGATATGAGCAATGCATCCCCCCGGTGCCCGTTATCACACACCTACAACATCCACACAAATTCTACATTTCATATATAACACATGCTTACAACTAATTAAAGGTTCAATCAATTCAATATTAAGAAAAAAAAAACAAATCTAACAACTATGGCAAATGATTTGCCACAAAATAGCCTTTTTTTTTCTCCCAAATAGGCCCCATGGTGAAGTTCACTATTTGCTTTTCCTTTTTTTTTTTTTTGTATGGTTCCCACTTCCCACTATGGATGTTTTGAAAACTCCTTTTGGGTTGAATTGAAAAAGAAACGGTTCAACTGACATCGGTTTTATGTTTATTTTTGAACCAGAATGAATCAAACTATTTTTACAAAAACTCGATTGAACTTGTTAAATAGAACAAAAACATTTGGAAATGAGACATTTTGCATAACAAAATTTGGTAGTATTTTTCTCACACACACACACACACACACACACACACACATAT